GTTTTGGATAGATACATAAGATACCAAGTTCTGTTGCACATGTACTTTTGGAAACGAAAATATGTAATGGGTTTCTTTGATCATGCAGGCTGAAATACGTAGCATCAAACCATCAAAGGATTCCTGTTGAAATACAGCAGTCACTAGGCCAGGGCTAGCTGTTCGGTTAGTTCACGTGGGGGACTGGATAATGGTGTGTAAATAGGTCCACACTCTAACCCTGGAACTTTATATGGCCAAAGGGGCGAACGGGCAGATGCAGTTCAACTCAGGAGCCGTCTTGGGCCACCTGCAAGGAGGACTGAGGAAGATCTGACCCCAGGATAGAAGGTAGCACAATTCAGCAAAAAAGGGGATGTGGGGGCGCTAAGGGCTATGCTTCTGGCTTTGAAGGTGGAAGGAAGGGACCCTAATTAAGAACTGCAAAGACCACGACTCTTGAAACTGAGGCAGGTAAAGAAACATTGTCCTTTAGCGTCTCCCGGGTATGTGGAGCTCTCCCAGCTCCTGTTACTCAGGGAAACTGAGTTCTGATTCCTGGTCTCCAGACTTGCAGAACTGTATAATACATACGTACTGTTGTTACAGCAGCCGTGGGAACTAGTACAGTCGGTAACAGCAGCCACGCTGGCATGGAACACCTCAACTCTGTGCTGTTTAGTTGTCTCGCCAAGGTGGTGTATGTGGCAAATCTCACGAACTCTGTATTTTCTGGTGCAGACATTCCTATATGTGTCCAACATCAACTCATCACAGAGTACTTTGTGAAGGACAATCATGCCTGGACAGGTTGTTAACAGCATCTGTTACAGCGGGACCCCAGGACTACAGTAGCTGAGGGGCTCCCTTGACAACATCATCCATTGCTTTCCATCAGTCAAGACCACATGTAAATGGCCTCATTTTTTTTTTCACAAAATCTGATACCATAGAGAGATGTTTCAGTTCAATTCATCTTTTTTTTTTTCTTTTTGAACTCCAGAAACATCAAGTTAGATGAAGCTCACACTTCCCTTGATAACTTGTGTCGCTTAGGAAATAGTGACACGGAGATAACGACAAGTCATTCTTCCTGGCTTCCTCTCAGTGAAGAATTCAAGCAGCAGCTGCTGCCGCCACTCATTCAATCTCACTGGGCATTCGAAACAGGAAAGAAGGAGTGGAGGGATGGCTCGGCTTTGTTTATGTCCGTGTGCATTCCAGGCAGGCCTGCATCAAAGGTGTGAGGGTGGTTGAGACATCTTTAATCTTGGCTTCAAAAGGCTCCACACACAATGGTCTTCACAGCAGAGCTCTGCAGATTTCAGCTCCAGGCCCTGCTTGTCTACACACGTGTGAGGTGGAAGAGCAGCTAGCAGTTCTCAGCCGGGTGTAAGGACTGCTTCCCTTGAAAAGGGTATGAGTAACTGGGAGTGGCGCTGTGCTGTTAATCCCAGCGTATTTACAATCCCAGAACTCTGATGGTCCGATGGCCGAGAAAGGGTGATGCTTGCTATAGGTCTGAGGGCAGCCTGGGCTACACAGTGAGTTCAAGGCCAGTTTAGGTTACACAGTGAGATCCTATCTCTAAAGGACCCAAACAAACAAATATACAAACAATTTTTGAAATGCAAGCAGGGACTGGAGAAATGCCTTAACAGTTGAGATCACTAGCTCCTCTTTCAGAGGGCCTGAGCTTGGTGCCCAGTACCCATGTCACTGGGGGTAAGCTTTGGGGTCCCGAAGACCCAGATGTAGAACACTCAGCTCCTTCTCTAGCACCATGTCTGCTGCATGCTGCCATGCTCCTCACCATTGTGGTAATGGACTAAACCTCTAAACTGTAAGTCAGCCCCAATTAAATATATTCCTTTATAAGAGTTGCTGTGGGACTTAGCTCCCAAGGTCCAAATGAGGAGCAGAAGGAGAGAAAACATGAGGAAGGAAGTCAGGACCACGAGGGAACCTTCATCTGGCGATGGATGGAAGATAGAGACAGAGACCCACATTGGAGCAATGGACTTAGCTCCCAAGGTCCAAATGAGGAGCAGAAGGAGGGAGAACATGAGAAAGGAAGTCAGGACCGCGAGGGGTGTGTCCACCCACTGAGACGGTGGGACTGATCTAATAGGAGTTCACCAAGGCCAGCTGGACTCGGACTGATGGAGCATGTGATCAAACCGGACTCTCTGAATGTGGCTGATAGTGGAGGCTGACTGAGAAGCCAAGGACAATGGCATTGGGCTTTGATACTACTGCATGGACGGGCTTTGAGGGAGCCTTGTCTGTTTGGATGTCCACCTTCCTGGACCTGGGGGGAATAGGGAGGACCTTGGACTTCCCATAGGGTAGGGAACCCTGACTGCTCTTTGGCCTGGAGAAGGAGGGGGAGTGGGAGTGGGGGAAGGGGAGGGAAGTGGGAGGAGGGGAGGAGGTGGAAATTTTTAATAATAATAATAATAAAAAAGTTGCTGTGGTCAAGGTGTCTCTTCACAGCAATAAAACTCTGACTAAGAACACATTAGAAGGAAAACAATCACCACTAAACAAACTATTAGTCTTTCCTAAAATAAAACATCCCATGTTAGACTCCCTGACACTCTGAATCTAGTTGGGAAAGGAAACTTGCAGATACCCAGTGGCTCTGTGTATATGTGTACATGTGTGTTCTGTCTGTGTGTGTGTGCACGTGTGCGCACATATGTGTTTTCCTTGTGTTAAAATATATGCAATCCTGGCACTTTGGAGATGGAGGAGCAAAGGTTCAAGGACATTGTTGACTACCTAGGGAGTTTGATGCTAGCCTGGGTTTCATCAAACAAATAAATTATATGGATCATAACATGTATCCTTTTAACCATTATAAGCATACAGTTCTGTGGGATTAAATTCATATCATGCAACCACTATCTATTTCCAAAAGATTCTCAACATTCCAAATAGAAAACTCTGTACCCGTGGGGTGGTGGTGGCACACGTCTTTAATCCCAGCACTCAGGAGGCAGAGGCAGGGCGGATCTCTGTGAGTTCAAGGCCAGCCTGGTCTACAAGAACTAGTTCTAGGACAGGCTGCAAAGCTACAGAGAAACCCTGTCTCAAAAAACAACAACAAAATAATAACTCGGTTATTTAAAGGGATGACTTTTATAAACAGAAACTTAAAGGAGTGCCAAAGCTATTTCCTTTTAGGCGTGGTTGTGCACACCTTTAATCCCAGCACTTTGGTGGTGTAAGTAGGCAGATCTCAGTGAGTTCAAGGACATACAGTGAGTTCCAGGACGCCAGAGCAACACAGTTAGACCCTGTCTCAAAGAAAAATAAAGAAATAAACGCAAAAACCAACCTATTGCTTATATTATACAAATTCTGAATTCGAGGTTTGTGTAACCTATGGTCAACAAGTATGTGTTACAGTGAGTGTGTACAAAACATTCATCACAACACCGTTCAATAGCCCAAAGGAGGAAACCCCAATATCTATCGATAAATAAATGGGTAACCAAAGTGTGGTGTATACCATACAGGGAGATATTATCCAGCCTTAAAAAGGAAGAGAACTCTGACCCATGCCACAAAATAGGTAAACCTTGGCTGAGTGAAATAAGGCAAACAAGAAGAAAATGTATAATCCTGCTTACAGGAGTGGACATAGTCAAATTCTGCCTGCCTCTGCCTCCCGAGTGCTGGGATTAAAGGCGTGCGCCACCACCGACTGGCTAATAGCCAGAGTTTTGAAAGTTTCACACTGCCGATGTCTCGCTCAATCCAGATCAGTTACGTCAGAGGCTTCGGAAGTGGGACATAGGCATTAGTGTCAGCTGTAAATCTTACCAAGTGATTCCTATGCGCAACCATCTTTGAGAATTATGGCCTAAAAAGTTAACCAGTGAACACTTGTCATGGCTGAGATATAAAATGTTCCCCACAGGCTCATTTACTGAATGATTGGTCCCAGCTGTTGGCGCCGTTCTAGAGAGTTCTGAATATTTTAGGTGGTGGGGCTAGATAGAGCAAGTCCCTGGGGAAACCTCATCCCTGTGTCTCCCCCTCTCCCACCTTCCCTTCCTGTCTCTCCTTCCCCTCACCTCCCTTTCTGCTTCCTGAAGCTGTTCTCCTGCCCCTAGCTCCAGGTACCAGAATGTTCTGTCCAAGTGCATGGTACTAAATCCTTCTGAATTTACAAGCTAAATAAACCTTTCCTCCTCAGGTTGTCCTCGTGCGGTTCTGGTCACTGAAATGCAGAAGTCGCAAGCTATGGTTCCACCTGATGCTCTTCTCTTTGCCTACATATTCGAGAGTATCCCGACAACTCCCAGACCTTCTCATTCAAGTCAGTCAGATCGAACTCACTTTCATACTTTTAAGACCTTCAGAAAAGTCAACATGGTGGTACATTCCTGGGAGGCTGAGGCAGGATTGCCATGAGTCCAAGATCAGGCTGGGGTACACAGTAAGACCATGTCTGGCAAAGCCTGCAACAAAGAAGAACCAGGTAGCAAGTCTCCGAGCAGCCTGGTGCTCACGATGTAGGAAATAGTGGTGTGGCAAGAGGTGGGATGGGTCCTGAGTGAACTTCAGGAACGAGACTCTAGTCATGTTAATTTCAGACTAAAAAAAAAAAACAGACAAATAAACAAAAAAAAAAACCCCACCTAATTCTAACACAGTGTTTACTCCTGCTTTAGAATATGTGAAGTATTCAGAACAGGGCAGACAGCAAATGCCTTTTTAGTGCTAGCTTCTAGACTCGTTGATGGAGTCTTTAAGAGGGAGCCACATATATGGGACATTGTTTATTAGCTTTTGGCTAAGATCCGGTGTGAATATATGAAGAACATGTTCTTCAGCACGGTGAGAGTATCACACAAAAGATGAAGGAAGAGAGAGAGTCTTTGAATGGCTGGATGCATATGAAGTTCTGAAGCCCAAGACCCAGGAGTTTATATGCCTGTTTAACTTATATATATAATTACATGGATATATATAAAATTGGTGTGTTAGTACAATGATTGCTAAATACAAAATGTAGAGAAGATGTTTATTAAAATTCATAATAAGGGACGAGACATGCAGTTTGGCTAGAAGGCTTGCATAGTGTACAGCAGGTCCTGGGTCTGCTCGACTGCACCGTAGAGGGACGCTAGCCCCACACAAAGTAAGTGAATCTGAATATAAAAGAACACGTGAAAAAGAAAAGCTATCATTAATTTTAGAGTCAATTATGTGGCAATTAGGGAATTTCAGTGGTTTCATAAAATTTTACTACAGTGAATTAAAATACAGAAGCATGCATTGCTATATTGTTCCAAGCTTTAAAAGAGAGTAAAGCAAAACTTAGATTAGTGGAAATTATTAGGGAATGATTATTTTGAGGTTGTTTGCTTGTTTGCTTGCTTGCTTGTTTCAATCCAGGTTTCTGGCTGGCCCGGGACTCAAGAGATCTGCCTGCCCCTGCCTCAAGTGATGGGATTAAAGGTGTGTGCCACATACCTAACAAAAACAATATTTATAACACAGTTGGGAGAAAGTAACTTTCTATCTACTTTGAGGAATTCAACTGAAAGACACTGGAGTAGCTGAGCAGGTACCTTATGATTTTAAGTATCTGGAAATGGGAACAAAATAACCAAGAGTGTAGGAGGGGGTGTTGAGGTGACTCAGCCGGGGAAGGCACTCGCCTTCAAGCCCGAAGACCTGAGCTTGACCCCAGCACACACATAGTGAAAGGGGAAAATTTGCCATCATTTGTCCTCTGATCTCTGCACATGCACAAACGCAAACAAACAATGTAATTAAAAACAATTCTCTTTTGTGTTCTGCCAGCATGTATGCCTGCACGCCAGAAGAGGTCTCATTACAGATGGTTGCAAGCCACCATGTGGGTACTGGGAATTGAACTCAGGACCTTGGGAAGAGCTGCCAGTGCTCTTAGCCTCTGAGCCATCTCTCCAGCCCCTAAAAACAATTCTTAAAGAGCACATCAAGATAAGCTCTAGGAGATGACTTGGTAGGTTCAGAGCACTTGCCACATGCTTGTGAGGACCTGGGTTCTAATACCACCACCCCAATCCAGGAATAGCTGTATGCTTCCATAACCCCAGTGCTGGCAGGGGAATGGGAATAGGGCGCTGGGGCTTGTGGGTGTCCAGTCTCACCAAATTATAACCAAAATGGTGAGTGCTGGGTGCAGGGAGAGCCTTTTGTTTAAAGGGACTCAGAGAAGAGTATCTGAAGATTGCCTCTTACATTCACCACACCACACACACACACAAACACACTCACATACATCAAATAGAAACCTAACGCCCCCCAAAATAAAACAAGCAAACAAAACTCCCAAATATCCTGGTAAAGTCTCCAAGCCTCCTAAGCAGCCCTCCTAACCAGTCCTCTACCTGCTGTATTGCTTCCCTGTAAGCCCATCCTGCAGCCTGGTATGGTGAGGTCCTTTTAGAAATCTTCATAAGACTGGGACACTCTCATCATGTCACACTCCAAATTACCTTCGCATCCTACATAAATAAAATCCAAATCCCTAAGCAGTTCTGCGTCCCCATGTGAGCTGTCCTTGGCTGGCAATATTTGTCTTCAATCCACTTCACAAGCCTGGATCCTTTTTATCTTTTAGATCTCAGCTTAAATGGTTCTTTCTTGTAGAAGCCATATGCAAGCTCCGCGTTTAAATCAGAAAAAGCTATTCAATGTTCTGTATGGCAGTCACTGACACTTGCTATTCAGTACACAGTCTCAGAACCCAGGGAGACAAGGCTCTATTATTATCATAGGCATCTTTAGCAAGTTCACTGAATCCCAAGAATTGGGAAAAAGCTCCAGTAGGCAGCAAGACAGTGGCTTAACAGAGCTGTCACTGGATTTTCTGTCCTGCTGTCCACAAGACAACTTGCTAGCACCGCAATCACACAATCTGCTGATTTTCACTCTGGTGCGCTGCAAGGTGCTATTTCTTTGAGAATGATCCCTTCTTGACAGACTAAAAGATGGTGTTTTGTCTGCTGTCTGTGTCTAGCACCTAGAATCTCTGTAGCATATGCTAAGGATGCCGTGAGTGCTTTGTGCTGCTCAGACCCTCGGCTGAGGTCTACCCACACGAGAGAGAAACCAGCTTCAATTAGCAGTGTTGTCTACAGATTTAAATCTGAATCTCAGCTAAAAACTGTCCTTACAGGGACAATCATACTGCTTGAACCGTATCTTGGGTACTCCCAAACCCAGTCAAAGAACACATGAAATACCCTCAGTGTGATGAGGGCAGGCAGCTGGAAAGAATGGCCAACTGCGTAGAATGGGGCAATACTTCAGCTAAGATCTTTTTAGGGGGCTGAATACCTAGTGTTTAAGAACAATTGTTTCTTTGGCAGAGAATCCAAGTTCACTTCCCAGCTCCTATGTCAGGTGACTAACAACTGCCTTTAACTCCTTTGGCAACAATGCTTAGACTAGATACTGTTAAGTTGACGAGAAAGGCAAATTCCGTATTGGAGCTGGGAATTGATTTCTCATAGGGATACGGCTTAACAGTCTGCACCGCATAGAATTCCAAGCACAGCTGAATTGAAGTTAGCAAATTTCAAGTGATAGAAAACAGGGCTGATTTCACAGAAACAAAGCTACAAATGATAAAGGGATGCGAATGAAGGTTCCAGTGCTGATGTCAGCATTGGGGAAAGCAATATGAACATCCTAACGTAAAGCATTCTAGATACGCAGTATCCGTGGATACAAGGATTACTATATATACATCTGTGGTCTAGCTATGTCCCTGAGGGAGGCAATGCAGAGAGATACATGGATACCCAAGTAGTGCAAATACTGAGTGTATCTCATGCCCAGATCTTGGTTTGTTTATTATATCTACCTATCTATCTTTCTATCTATTTTGGTTTTTTGAGACTGGGTTTCTCTGTGTAACAGTACTGGCTGTTCTGGAACTCACTTTATAGACCAGGCTGGCCTCTAACTCACTGAGATCCACGTGTCTCTGCCTCTCAAGTGCTGGGATTAAAGGTGTGCACCACCACTGCCTGTCTAAAATTTATTTATTTTTTTTATTTTATGCACTTTGATGTTTTGCCATGGTATCAGGTTCCCTGGAGCTAGAGTTGCAGACAACTGTGAGCTGCCATGTGGGAGCTGGGAATTGAACTAAGGTCCTCTAGGAGAACAGTTAGTGCTCTTAACTGCTTAGTCATCTCTGTGACCCAGATCTTGATTCTTAAAACCATTTTTTAAAGGGCAAGGACAATCATTTCCTGGGGGTGCGGTGATGGGCAGGAAGGGTACGTGATAAGCCTGGAAGAACTATAAAATGTGTACTGAACGCCAAAAACAAACCCAAGAAGGTCAAAGGGTCAAAGGCATGTCATAAACACCAAGGAATCAACTCTGAAGAATTCTGGAAGGCCAAAGTTGGAACACACACACACACACACACTTCTAGGAGTCCGTTGTCATAGAAACTGGAAGCAGAAAGCTAAAGTGTCTGAGACCTGGGAGCAGGCTAACAAACTTTTGCCAACCAGTGCTCCTTGAGTTTCTTCTGAACCATAGGTGTGAAAAGAGTCCCGGCCCCATCATGAAAGCTGAGAACTGGGACGGGAGAGAGAGCTCAGTGGTCAAGAGCAGAGGACCTGGGTTTGGTTCCTGGTACCCACATGGCAACTCATAATGGTCTGTCACTCAAGTTCCAGCAACCCAGTGCCTTCTTCTGACCTCTGTGGACACCACATGCATGTGGGCACTTAAAGACACTTCAAAATAGAATCTCTTTTCTATAACTTAAAATGTTTACAAAAGTTGAGTTTTAAATATTAAAGATGACTTTATGTCCATCTTTAGTGTTTCTGGGACTATTTCCCACAGGCTGCAAAGCCATACAAACAGAAGAAACAATAGACCTAGCACTCTGTGGCTTTCTCTGTTTCAAAAACACTTGAGATATTTGATGAGCATTTCCTACCCTCCCAGTAGGCATTTTCAACCTTCCAATGATAGTGCCCCCATTTTACAGCTCTTCTCTGATCTCAGAATTTGATATTGTAACTTTGCTTATATACACATCATTCACACCCAGCACTAAAGTTGCAACTTTGTTTAATGGTTCTTAAGAGATTAACTGTCCTTGCGGCATACTATATCCTTCAGACCTTTCTTTTATGCTCCACCCTACTGTGAGAGTTTGTTTCTTACCCTCTGTTGTGGTTTGAAAGAATACAGCCCCGGAATAGTGCCACTCTATTAGGAGTTGTAGCCTTGTGTGTGATACATAGTTCACTTCTTGTTGCCTGCATATCAAGATGTAGCCAGCACCATGTCTGCCTACATCACCATGCTCCCTGCCCATGATGATAATGCACTAAACTTCTGAAAACGTAAACCGCCACTTCAGTGAAATATTTCCTTTACAAGAGTTGCTGTGGTCATGGTATCTCTTCATAGCAATGGAAATCCTAACTAAGACACCCTCCTTTGACAATAACCATATTAGAATGAAGAAACCTTCTACTAAGGATCTGCCCAGGCTCTATTCACAATTTGTGATTCTACACTAATAAAGTACGAGTTTGGTTCAATGTCCCACAGTTTGTTTATATTCAACTTCTTTTTTGTGACAAGATCTAGCCTTGGCTGGCCTTTTACTTGCCATGTAGACCAGGCTAACTTCAAACTCACAGAGGCCTGCATGCCTCTGACTCTGGAGTACTGGGATATGAAATGTGTGCACCACCACACCCGGCCCTATATTCAACATTTAAAGTGTTCACCTCCTTTGTCCTGGTTAGCTTTACTTGCAACTTGACACTGCCTGCAGATATCTGAGATGAAAGCCTCGATTGAGGTTTGCCGAGATAAGATTGACCTATGAATGTATCTGGAAGAGGGGGTGCACTGATTATTAATTGCGCTCCCAGCTCACTATGAGCCGCAGCACCCCTGGGCAGGTGGGTGGCTCTCGACCGTGTAAGAAAACCAGGAAAGCACGAGCCTGCAATCAAGGCATCAAAGTATGGTTCTTCTCGAAGCTGCTGCTTCAAATTCCTGCCCCATTTGATTCCTGCACTGGCTTCCTTCACTGATCATTTGTGACCTGGAAATAAAATTAAATAAAATGGCCAAATAAAATAAATCCCTTTCCTTGCCTATGTAGCTTTTGGTCACGGAGTTTTTTAAAGCAACTGAGAGGAAACTGGAACACCCTTCCTTGGGGTTTTTCGTGAGTTTTTGACTTACTGCTCCACTTTCGTTTACAAGTGCATGTATGAATACATCATGTTTTTTAGTTCCTTCTCTTCTTAGGCACTTACTCCAAGACTAGGAAAAATGAAGCGTTTGATACAATAAATACTTCCTTTACAGCATCCGTACAGTCCTAATCTCACCCAGTGCCCAGGGTGCTAAGACGGCTGCCTTCATGGCAAACGACTCACAGTGGTTCTCAACCTCCAAATGCTGCAACCCTTCAGGACGGTGAGTTTCTCCTGTTGCGGTGACCCCAACCATAAAATTATGTTCTCTGCTACTTCATAACTGTAACCCTTGCTACTGTTATGAATTGTAATGTAAATATTTTTAGAAATAGAGGTTTGCCAAAGGAGTCGTGACCCATAGGTTGAGAACCGCTGCTCTAGAGTAAATCCCTTCAGGACTTGTGTGGCCAAGAGAGGCCATTTGGCGTGAATGCTTTATACCTTTCCCCTAAAGGAAATAGATTTCAGCCAGTCCACAAATGTACAAGATGACTAGGCAGTTTACTCTCTCTGGGGTGTATTCAAAAGAAGAAAAGCCAAGGACACATGCATACATTTGAATTTTCTACCTTTAGACAAAATCAATGCTCTCTTATTAACATAATGTGGTCATTTGAAAAATTCTAGTGTGTCCCTGAGAGGAAAACTTACCTTCTACCCACTAAGTTTACAACCTGGCTTCATGGTTGATTTTCTAAAGCTTAACTGATCAATAAGAAAATGGCATATTGCATACACACGCTCATTCTATGAGGAATTCTTTCAAAAGTCAGGTCAAGGTAAGAGCAGTGCGTGCATGCGTGTGGTAAAAAGCTTCAGAGGGAAGGTCTGATAAGGTTTATTTATGCAACTCAGTCCCTTGGGATGCCTTAGCTCTCGGTCTCCTGGCATCAGGAGGCTCCCTTGAGGGGGTTGTGACAGCTGAATCCGCAGAAAGGTCTGCCCGACTCATCACAGGTCAGTGTAGATGAGGCTTTCCCCCGCAGCTGCTGTTTGCTCAGATGTTCCGACTCGGTAGTTTTTAGGTCGTCCTGACGGGCTGTCAGCCCCTGCCCTGCCCCCCTGGCAAACTGACATGAGGTTTCCCTTGCAAACAGCCAGCTCGATTGCTGCAGACAAGACTCAGGTGAGAGGTCGGGAGTTATAGCTCCATGGAGGGCAGGAACACAGATTAGAACAAGGTTGAAAAGGCTCACAAGATCAAAGGGAACCGCACAGCCCCATGTTCCATTAAAGCGAGCTTTCGCTCCTGGAAGCAGGTCAGTCCAATTAAATGACGGCACAGCCTTTATTTGATGTGGGGTATTGACCTGTTCATTTCTACACTGCAGATCAGACGTGACTTCTTATTTACGTAGAGGCAGTGCCGCAAGCCAACAGCTGCACAAGCACTTGCCGGTTGTCTGCTCAGTGTGTCCAGGACACAGTCTGGGGATACAGGAGTGGCACTTCATAGTCTCAGGCAGTGTTGTCCCAGGGAAATATTCAGATCTGCCTTTTCTAGATAGTCAGTTTTCGAACGTGGAAAAAAGGGTCCACATGGCTCAATGAGTTTGGAGTATGTGGGTAGACTGTCTAGGAGTTGTTGGCTGCATCTGAACGGCGCTTCATGAAGGACCTCAGGTTTGCAATCTGCCACACAGCTGAAGTGGGATATGCCCTTGCCGTCATTTCTGGGGCATCCCCTGACAAGACTGCAATGCTCGCGGGTCGGTAGAGGGTGCGGGTGAAGCACTCTAGAGTACAGCATATCAACAGCTGTGTATACAGAGGAAGCCTATCGACTGTGATTCGGTAGCACTCACCTCGGATTGGACAAGGAGCGCGCAAGCGGAGTGTGCCGGCTCAGCCAGAGGCCCGCTACCAGTTACTCACACTACTTCAGAATTCAGTATCTGACTTCCGGGAAGACCCAGGAGCATGGTGTGCCATGTTTCTTAGAAGCACAGTGTGCCAGATAGGCTGGCCGCCAGGTGATGCCTGAATTTTCCCCTACAGGGGTAGTTGCTAGGGAGGTGACAGCCAAGTTCACATTATCTTGATCATCTGAGATCTTTATATAACTTTTTATACATAAATTACAGAGACCAGGGCCATTTTCCGACAAGGTCGGTATGGTGCCTGTGAGACACACGGCTGAAATCTGGTCCCCTGTGACCTTTTTTACTAGTCATGTTGGACTTTACACATCTCTATTTTCCATGTGCCTCTGGTGGGCTTTCAGACCCAAACCAGGCAAGATACAGGGTAAAGCTGACTGTCCTGGTTTGCTGCTACTGTGATTAAAAACTATGACCAAAAGCAATTTGGGGAGAAAGGACTTATTTGGCTTACATACCCTATCATAGTTCATCACTGAGGGAAGCAGGAACTAAAAGCAGGGCAGGAATCTGGAGAGAACGGAAGCAGAGATCATGGTGGACTACTGATTATTGACTTGCTTCCCATGGCTCAATCAGCTTGATGTTGTTAATATTATTGCTGTTACTATTATTATTTTATTATATTTAAATTGTTTTTATTGAGCTATATATTTTTCTACACTCCCCCCACTTCCTCTCCTCTCCTCTTCTACCCTCTCCCATGGTCCCCACACTCCCAATTTACTCAGGAGATCTTGTCCTATTCTACTTCCTGTGTAGATTAGATCCATGTATGTCTGTCTCTCTTAGGATCTTCTTTGTTGTCTAGGTTCTCTGGGATTGTGAATTGTAGGCTGGTTTTTCTTTGCTTTATATCTAAAAGCCACTTATGAATGAGTACATATTATTTTTGTCTTTCTGGGTCTGGGTTACCTAACTCAATATGATGTTTTCTAGATCAATCTATTTGCCTGCAAATTTCAAGATGGCATTTTTTTCTGCTGTGTAGTACTCCATTGTGTAAATGTCCCGCATTTTCGTTATTATTTTAAGTACAATTGTGGTGGTTTGACTGAGAATGGGCCCTATAGGCTCAGATGTTTGAATGCTTGTTCCAAAGTTGGTGGAACAGTTTGAGAAGGATTAGGAGCTGTGGCCTTTTTGGTGGAGGCATGTCACTGGGAGTGGGCTTTGAGGTTTCAAAAGCCCATGCCATTCCCAGTTAGTGCCCCCTCCCGCCTCCCTAACTTGAAGACCAGGATGTAAGCTCTTAGCTACTGCTTCGGCACCATGTCTGCCTGCCTACTGCCATGCTCCCTGATTTGATAGTTGTGAGCTAACCTCTGAAACTGTAAGCAACTCCAAAAACTCATTCTAACTAAGTTGCTTTGGTTATGGTGTTTCTTCACAGCAATTAAAAAGTAACTAAGACAACCAAGGGCCACCTGCCTAGAAATACCACCACCCACTATGAATCATTAATCAAGAAAATGCCTCACAGACTTGTCCACGGGCAATCTGATGGAGGTATTTTTCTCATTTGAGGTTGACATCCCTTTTCCCAGATGTCAAGTTGACAAAAAACTAACAGCATAGCACACTTGCATTTCAGAGTGACAGCCTGTGGTAGTTTGAAAAAAAAAATGGTACCCATAGGGAGTGAAACTATTGGGAGGTGTGACTTTGTTGGAGGAAGTATCTCACTGTGGGGGTGGACTTTGAGGCTTCCTATGCTCAAGCCACACACAGAGTGGTACTCAGTTCACTTCCTGCTGCTTGTGGATCAAGGTGTAGAACTCCTAGCTTCTTCTCCAGCACCATGTCTACCTACATGCCACCCACCATGAAGATAATGAATGGATTAGACCTCTGAACTGTAAGCCAGCCCCTATCAAATGTTTACTTAATAACAATTGCCTTGGTCATGGTGTCTCTTCACAGAAGTAGAAACCCTAAGACATAGCTCTAGAAAAAGGTGTCAAAGAAATGTCAAGGTCAGGGAAGGGAGTTCCTTCAAATATATGGTCTAAGATAAAGATTATTTCATGGTGTAGTTTACTACTGGGGTCTGTGAGAAGGCTCCAGAAATGTTTTAGTTTGAGGTAAATCACAGGGTGTACCTTCTGATTATTGTATGATCACCTGGATCTACTTGGCCACGCTGAGTCTGGAGATTTCATTTTGATGGCAGTGTAGGTGGTTAGCAGTACCTTGTAGGAATCCTACCTGGTATGTGACAATGTGTGTCCTTCCAAACAGAGATGGATACCTGAGCATTTGGATGAAACAGAAGGCAAGGGTGATCAGTGAAGACCATACATTGGTGACATGCTCTAAGAATAACAACTCTTTATGCCTTTTTCTGCGCTGGGAGCCAAACTCAGGGCTAGCTTACATAGGTTAAGCAACTACTCTGCCACTGAGCCACATCCTCAGCACAATCCCTGCATATAACAAGCTACTGTATGGAACTGCTTGCTCATGCTCCCAAATGTAGCACAGGATAGTCTCGAACTCACTACATAACCGAGGTCAGTCTCAGATTCTCAGCAATCTCCTGAGTTTCCTCAGTGCTGGACTCACAAGCATGTGCTAGCACTCTTGGCTTCCAAAACTTACTTTAAAAGATTATGCCCTGCTAGGTGTGGTGGTATATGCCTATAATCCCAGCACTGGAGAGATGAATGCAAAAAGATTAGAAGTTCAAGGCCAGCCTGGGCTACATAAGACCCTGACTGAGAAACAAATGGCAAACAAAAAACAAAGATCATTGTTTCTATGGGAAAAGTCTGATTTTTTTTGAGGGGGTGGGGCACATTTGAGACAGTATTCATCTGTATAGCCCTGGCTATCCAGGAACTCACTCTGTAGACCAGGCTGGCCTCAAATTCACAGAGATCTGCCTGTCCATGCTTCCTGAGTGCTGGGATTAAAAGCGTGTGCCACCATCACTGCCTGGTTAGACTTTTTTTCCCTTTTTAAATAAGAGACAACTGTCATAGAGTATACTATTCTTTTTTTTTTAGTTTCTCTTGTCCCAAAGATTAAGAAAAGTAAGTTTAATGGCCAGATTCACTGAGAACAAACTGAGTTCCTAGGTGAAAAGGCTTGCTAAATTTGGTATATGGAGAGAGGAGGCCAGAACTGGAAATGGACAATGGCAATTTTACTGTTTTCAAAGAGACCAACGCACCAGGAAAGCTTCCATGGGGGTAGCTGGAAGGGCTAAAACTGGGGATCCACTGGCTAAAAATTCATGTAATCTTTTGTTCTTGGAGAATGGATGAAAAATTAACTCAAGGCAGTTTGGGGGTTTGACTACCGTGAGCTATTTTACCCTCTACTTGGGAAGAGCTATTCGTACCCACTGTCTCGGTTAGCCAGTGCCGTAGACAGAGTGCAAAAGGGTATTTTCTATGTGATTCTGGTAGTTGGGCAGGATAAGCGTGAATTCATCGCTTGTGCTACGACTTCAAAAAAACTTTACAAGGATGAAAGTTTCTTCTGGTAAAGCTGTGACTTCTTTCGAAGACTCTTGCAATGGTCTTACTGGTTTCTGTGTCAGCCTTAAAAGGCACAGGAAGGGATGATTTGGGGTGTGCCTCCTCCTCCCAAGTGCTGGGGTAAAAGGCATGCACCACAGCTGCCTAGCTGCGGGTGTTTTACTTTTGCTTCTTTTAAAGCAAATGTCAGCCCCGGCAGCTGCAGTAGACGTGTTCGGGAATCCTCAAGCTATCTCGGCGTCCAGGCTGTTCACGTGCTTGCAATCCCATTAACTTCAGGCCAGGCAGCTGCTTGGAGCCTGCTGTGGCTTTGGGGATCAGCCCTGGTTGACTGGCCCTGCGGAAGTGCTGTCGTCAGGGTGACGGGAGATGCTACCCCTCAGTTCTGGCCGCTGGGAGCTTAGGGCGAGCAAAGCTCGAGGGAACATGGGGAGGCCGCCCTGATGCCTTACCTGTGGGACACTCTCCGCCAAGCCCCTGCATCCGCCTAAAGCCAAGACCGCAGCCAAACCGGGACACGAAACCTATCAGCACGTGTCGGGGCGGGACCGTAGACAAGCAGCCAATCCAAAGTAGAGTACAGCGCGCAGCCAGCCAATCCCAGCGAAGACTCGGGCGGGACCTGTGCCTGTTGTAGGCAGTTCCCGGGCCTGACCATTGGCTACTGAAGATGTTCAGCCCGCCTCTCCTTTTCCCTGGTGTGTGGAGGGAAAGGTCTGGACGCCGGACTTTCAAACCGGATTCATCAGGCTTCCACCAGGCGTTGGTGCTAGTTCCGGCGCTCTCGTCGGGTCTTCACGATTGTTCTGTCCGCACCTCTGTTCGCAGGGGATTCTTTGAGTCCCGGCCTCCTGGCTTCCGGAGCCACGAAGCTCTGGGCTCCATCACCAATATCATATAAACTAATAGTGGTGCAAGCCTATATTCCCAGCATGCTTTGGGCGGAGGCAGGGAGATCCTGAGTTCATGGTTATCTTTGCCTACCTAGCTAGTTGAGGTCAGTCTGTAACAAGTAAGCCTGGCAAGACAGAGAGAGGGAGGTAGGGAAGGAGGAGAGAGGAAGATTCAGTGAGTAAGTGATTTGGAACCAATTTTGGAGATGGGATCCTCAGGGCAAACTGGCAGGCTGGACTAGCTAAATCAGTGAGCTCTGGATTTTTTGTTTGTAAGCCTAGCTTTAACAGCTGAGCTATCTCTGCACGCGCCAACCTCCCCGCATCTCAGTGTATAAAGTAGAGCATCAACAAAGAAGATATTCAATATCAGCCTCTGGATTCTGTACACACATGTGCATAGGTGAGCCCACACACATGTGAACATGAACACACACCACATATTACAAGTCAAAAAAAAATGGAGTCAGGCCAGAGAGGAGGAACATGCGATTATGAAATAAAGTCAATTCTCTTTCTGTAGAAGAGACAGCATTGTGTTGGGATGTCAGTCCATTACACAAGCAGAGGGCGGGTGGGGAACACTGCCAATCAGCCTGAGAGTAAACAGTGAAACTGAAGTCGTACACATTGACCCAGACTGTGGAACTGCTAGCTTAGCGGACAGACATGAATACAAGAACCATTTGAAGCATGTAAAGCTGTCACCTAAGAGGTGCTCTGGGGACGTGGAGAGATGATTCAGTAGTTAAGAGCACTGGGTTGTTCTTTCAGAGAACCTGGCACCTTTCCCAGCGCCCGCCTGTCGGCTCACAATCATCATTAACTCTAGTCCTAGGATCTGACGCCCTCTCCTGGGCCTCCTCAGGCACCAGGCACTCATGTAGTGCACAGTCATACATGCAGGCAAGATCCTCATACACATAAAATAGATCTATTTTAAGAGGTATCAGGACGAGGGTCAGTGACACTTCCTGAGGCTGAGGAGGGATAACGAGGTGGAAAACGGAAGATGCGCCTGTGAGGCAAAGTACAAGCATTTGGGAGTCTCATTTCCAGGAGAGGGAAGACCAACACAGAGCGTGCTCCAGGAGGGAGCTCCGTGCATTCTCGGGAACATTTTTATAAATTTATAAATCTTCAGAAACAAAGCTGGACCCCTCTACATGTAATCCCATCACTTGAGAGACTGCAGCAGTAGGACAGAGGCAAGTTCAGGCCAGCTTGGACTACGAGGAGTCCCTGGGCAGCCAGGGCTACATACTGAGGCTCTGCTTCAAACAAAACAGCAAAATGCCCTGAAATGATGTTCAACAATAGCATAGGGCATAAATGCAGGTCAATAGAACATCGGCGTTTACATAACCAGCTTATGTGTAGGCAAGTATGTTAGATAATAATGGCTGATATTTAGTGCAGATTTATTATCCTATCTTTAGTTGCTCTCTGCAGATCACCTGGACCTGGGTCTACTGTCAAATGCCAGTCATCCTAACTCTTAAAAGGCTGGCTTGGGAGAATGGAGAGTTTCAGGCCACTCTGGACTCCTTGATGAAAATTTGTCTCAATCAACAATGAAAATAAATCAGGTGCAGTGCACACACCTATAATCCCAACACCTAATAGATGGACTCAGGGGCTGGAATTCAAAGTCACCTCCCACCGCAAAGTGAGTTTAAAGTCTGCCTGTGCTACAAGAGACCTTATCTCAAAACACAATAAAAGCAAAAGCCCAACGTTGGTCCCATTAATTCCACTTATTACTCTTCCTAGCAGGGTCATTGAACTTATTTTAACTGAGGACCCGTGTTAACATTTTGGGAAAGCTATTTGACTACCTGGTTTAGTAGGTGACATGAACACATTTGGGATTCCAAACACAAACCATCAGTGAAGCAGTTGGCCACTCTAGCTCCAACCTACACTGGCACACTTATGCCCACAAACATGGACTTATGGGCTTTGCAGTGACGAGAAGGTGGACACAAGGTGGAAGGCAGAGAACATGGACAATTCTGTTCTCTTACCATCTGCATTGGTATATACTATTACTTTCCTGTGGATGCAATTAAATACCATGACCCATTGGGAGATATTTGATTACACTGCATAAAGATATGTCATTGTGATTGGTTTATAAAAAGCTAAATGGCTAAGAGCTAGGCACGTGGTATAGGTGAGACTTCTGGACCGAGAGAGCTCTGGGAAGAAGAAAGGGGGAGTCGCCAACTGCACACAGAGGAAGCAGGGCATGTAGGAGGGGAGATAAAAACCACAAGCCATGTGGCAACCCGTAGCTGAATAGAAATGGGTTAGTTTAAGTTACAAGAGCTAGTTAGAAATAAGTCTAAGCTAGGGCTGAGCATTCGTAATTAGCAAGAAGTCTCTGTGTTGTTATTTGGGTACTGGCTGGCAGGACAGAGAAAGACTCTCATTACAATGACCAAAACAACTTATAGAAAAAGGAGTTTATCTGGGGCTTATAGATCCAGAAGGTTAGACTCCATGATGATAAAGTAGAGGTAGCAGGCATGGTGGCAGGAATAGAAGCTGAGAGTCACATCTTGAACTACAAGCAGCAAGCAGAGAGAGGGCGTTCAGGATAGCACGAGTCTTCTGAAACCTCGAAGTTTGTCCCTCAACAACACACACACTTCCTCCAGCAAGGATGCACTTCCTAAGCCTAACCAAACAGCCATCAGCTGGGAATCAAGTATTCAAATGCCTAAAACGTGTGTGTGTGTGTGTGTGTGTGTGTGTGTGTGCTTACGTGTGCATGCGCATGTGTGCACATGGATTTGTGTGTAATCTCATTCAAATCACCACGTCTTTGAAGGCACTTTTCCTACAGGTGATTATAGATAGAAACTAGACTCCCCTAAAAATCAGCATTCTATGGGGTAGACATGTTGGAAGTTGCCTGTTGACCACATGGTCTTAAGTTGCACAGCTTCCTCTCTTAGAGTGCTCAATTATGTTGGATTTAAATCTTGTTTATGTTTTGAAGATGTTCCTTAAAATTATACAGACTATCCATTATGCTTAGTGCCCAATGTACTCAATGATATTATAAATACTGCTTGCCTGGTCAGCTAAACTAATTAGCATAAGATAGCAGTTTGATTTGAAATAAGCCATTTTTTGTTATTGTTTTGAGAAGGGGGGGGTCTCATATCTAGGTAGACCTGGAGCTCACTACCTGACTGAGGATGACCTTGAACTTCTGATCTTACTTCCTCCACCAAGTGCTGGGATCAAAGGCATGCATCACCACACCTGGCCAAACTGATTCATTCTAGTCAAGAAGATTGAGTGGCGGGAGAGATCTGAATCCCCTCTAACATGATTTAATGAGGATGCTTGAATTGAGGACTGTTCTACATCAAACAAGGAACACAAATCCCCCGGGGTTCTATTTCTGGCTCTACCGCAGATTTTGCTGTTCTACCCGGAGCAAGATGGGACCTGTTAGTTCATTTCTATCTGCAAAACATAGGCAAATGCTTTTTGCCTTCTTCATGGAGAAGCAGGATAAATGAGCACCATGAATGACCTTGACCTATTTTGTAACTGCAAGTACATCTTTATTGCTGTAATTTCATGAGAAATGAAATTCATCTAATGGGGGCGGGGCTGACAAGTTAATACAAAGCAAAATCTTTAAAATCTAGACCAGCTGCTCTTTAAAATTCCACTTTCCAAATCTGAATAAGAAGAAGACAAATATATCTTTCAAGTAATGAAACTGAGAGGGAAGTAAAAGGGTGCCTTCTAACTCGGGTCAGCTTGTTTGGGGGAACGAATTCTATTTTCAGTAAGATACGTAAGAGCATCTGAAATACATTATTAAGTCCTAAGTCAAATGAGGATGCCTTGTTGAAAAAAAGGAATATCAAAGTGAATTTCTGTGTCTGCGGAGATGCACAGAGGAGTTTAGGAAGTTAGTCTCTAATTTTAGCACTGGGGAGGCAGAGGCAGGCAGATCTCGGTGGGTTTGAGGCTAGCCTGGTCTACAGAGCGAGTTCCAGGCCAGACAGACTATATGGAGAGACCTGTATCAGAAACAAAGCAATCTAGTTGAGAAGTCTGTAGCAATGTGTTTTAGGATGGCTTGATTCCTCTGAGATCTATCAATCTCAGTCCTGAAGTGGGTAGTGATGACTACAATCTCAGCTTTTGGAGGCTGTGGCAGGAGGAACACTATGAGTTCTGACCTAGTCTGAGCTCTAGAGTGGTTTCCAGTCTAGCCTGGGCTATGGAGTGAGACTGCCTCAGCAAAACAACCACAGCAACAAAATGGCCACCTCCCTTGAGAAGACCATACTATCCTCGGGTATGTCTCATTATTTCCTGGAGTACCTCTCAACCCGTCCCCCCCACCCTGAGCTGTATGTTATTGTTGTTGTTGTTGTTATTGTGTGTGTGTGCATTTGTGTGTATTTGTCTCTCTTCAGGGTCTCTTTACAGAGCTCTGGTTGTCCTATAACTCACTATGTAAACTAGGCTGGTCTGGAATCCAGAGATCTGCCTGCCTCTGCCTCCCAGTGCTGGAATTAAAGATGTGTGCCATCACACCTCCTCCCCCTCCTCCTCCTCCTCCTCCTTCTCCTCCCCCTCCTCCTCCTCCTTCTTTTTCTTCTCCTCCTCCTCCTCCTTCTTCTTAAATTTGCTTAAATATGTCTTTTAATGAACATCAACTCTGAAAAATAAAGCTACCTTAATTCCAATGCTGAGGTTTTAGGTAGAGGAAGTGAGAACTGTTCTTTTTTTGTTTGTTTGTTTGTTTGTTTGTTTGTTTTTGTTTTTCGAGACAGGGTTTCTCTGTAGCTTTGGAGCCTGTCCTGGAACTAGCTCTTGTACACTGGCCTCAAACTCACAGAGGTCCGCCTGCCTCTGCTTCCCAAATGCTGGGATTAAAGGCGTGCGCCACCACCTGGCTCATGAGAACTGCTCTTAAAATGAGTCATTTTTCAGGGCCTCCAGCAGCCAGAAGGTGTTTTTATCATTGT